TCTCTCTCTCTCTCTCTCTCTCTCTCTCTCTCTCTCTCTCTCTCTCTCTCTAACACACACACCATATATGCACACTCAAACTTGTGCATTGCCTTTTAAAGTCATATCTTTATTTTTTAGCATGGCTGTAAAAATTCCAACATCATGAATCATGACTACCTTTACAAAGCTGGCTGCAATGACCATTTGAGCATTCTCACTAACACAACAGGGAATGTTTGAGACTGCTTCTGCAACAAATATTGTATAAACACAGTGCATATATCAAGAACATTGGTGAGGCAGCGTGGTGAAATCAGACGCTCATCAAAAATTTAGAAATTAGATAAACAGGCATTTTCCACCACTTTGGAAATTTTTATCGAATTTTTTTTTGGGCTCAACCTCTTTTATGTCAATATATAAAAACACTTCTTAATGTGAATTTTACTGAAAAACATTAATTAAACGCAAAAAATATGTCATTTTCTTTCTGTTTTCTATGACTCTTTAGCTATTGGAGTTACCAAACTTTGGCTGCCAATTTCTCGCTAATTTCCATGCTGAAACCAGGCAACCTCACTTCCTTCAATCGCAAATATCTTGAGTTCTATTCATGATAGATGGATATTTATATCATTGGAAGCAAAGCAACAAAAAAAATCAGCTTTTAGATGATACCAATAACTCCATATGCCCAAAATTTGACGAGCACCTGATTGCACCGCATCATGACACATTTATATAAAGCCCTTTGCCTCACAGAAAGTATACAAGAATGAGTAGAAAGAGAATCTACTTCTAGTTGATTTTAGCATCCTTGGAGTAGCAAAAGCTAGTAATTACAGTAATCAAATAGGTACAGTTGCTAATGAAAAAGCAAAATGAAAAGTTTGTGCAGCCTTACATGAGTAGGCATGACCCTTATTTTGAGTTTGTTTATATCATGTGTGTGTGTGGGTGTGTGTGTGTGTGTATGTATATATGTTTGTGAGTGTGAGAAAGGAAAGGGGGAATGGACAGACAGACAGACAGACAGACAGACAGACAAAGTTAGTGTGTGTGTGTGTGTGTGTGTGTGTGTGT